TTTTCAAGCATGTGTAATGTTGATGTGTTTATATATGTGAGGATGGAGTGTTTGTGTGTTTGGGGTTTACATTGGCTTGGAGTGACTGTGCATGTGTGTGTGTGTGTGTGTGCGTGTGTGCAGGGTCAGGAAGGCGGGTGGTGTTGAGGAAGTCTTCTGGCGTCGGGGCTTGCCTACCGTGCCTTGCTCCGTCTACACCCACATACACAGCTGTGTACCACACAATCCAATCTTGCCATAGGGTTACACACACACGCGTGCACACACACACATAGAAACAAGACCAAGTTCAGCCGCAGCCACCATTACAACCTTCTTCACGCCACTGAACAGCTACCCAAACCTTTTTCAGATGAAAAAAATGGTTTGAAATGGGAATGAAATCATCGCACAAGCTCCACATTCGGCAACAAACAGCCCTCCATTACATCCAAGCAGACACTTTGCTTTTCTGTTGAGCGGTTCATCGATTGCCTGCCATAGGGTAAGCGGAGGTTCTTATGGATTACTAAAATAATGAAAGGCTACTAGCAGCCGTTATGTCTGTGCTATTCCTTTGGTTAGTGAGTCAGAGACCCTGAAGATGGAGTGAGAGCCAGGTCCTGGGAGAGGAGGACTATTTCTGTGTCGCCTGCAGCCACTGACACAGCGCGAGTGTTTACTGCTGTGCCATGCTGCCTCTCACAGTGGGAGCAGTTGAGGGATGACGGCTGACATTATTGTGCCTCCAGCCTGTAGCAGGAACAGTACAGGGAGAGCTTATTTAACCATCAGGTCACCAGACTGACTGCAACATTACAAAGAAAAGGAGTTGATGGCTGCTGTCTTATGGCTGCTGAAGCTTTGTGCAATTTATTAACAACATGCAGGTAAAGTTAGATTCAAATGGATCCCATTTTTATTTTTACTTTACTCCACAGAAGCAGATGTGGATGTATTAAGGACAGCGAGGTACAGCGTGTTTTAAGATGTAAAAAAAAAAAAGTGTTGAAAATACCTCACCTAACCTTTGATATTACAGCAGTACACCTTTGTCTACACAAGATGGCACTGGTAATACACGTGTCCTCATCAGAGCCCGAGCCTCAGTCTGGATCGAAGAGAAGTATTCCTTCAGGTCACTAATCTAAATACAGACACTCTTCATACATTGGTTTTCACTCTCCTCCACCCCAGAATAGCAACTTACGTCTCGAAACGAAGGAGCGATTATTTGAAATGAAAATAAGCAGCTGGGAGGGAAGTTTCCCTGCATTTTTTGATAAGTAACAAAAAGAATTAATTCACATGTGAGCTTCAATGGAAGTGGCCATTCCTCGGGCCAGGTAGGCAAAAATCCTTTGAACTGTGATAACCTGGTAAATGCTCGGTATCTCTGTTCATCCTGCAGAGCAGTCGATCTTGTTTCCTCTCCCCATCTAAACGGGGATAAACAAGTGCTGGAGGCGGGCTTTCCTATTTAAAATGCATGAGAAAAAATAGTGCAGGGCTTAGGCTGAAACGATATATTCTTTAATTCTGGTCTACAAGGAAGGAGTTCACTGTCAGACACTCGCAGATTTGGCTCATATCTAATGCAGGCAGTGCTAAACCTCTTCATAGATAGTAGGAATGCAAATTAACCTCAATGCAGGGTTTAAAAAAAGCCAACAATCAAATACCATCTGATTTGGAGTTGTTGGGATTTTGACATTTTCCTGTGAAAATGCAAAAATTTCACTGCAGTCTGTCGGCCCTGTTTGTAATTTCTTAGGTTTTTAACTTCAAACAGAAAATAGTGCAATTTTAATAATTTGTACTAATAGAATGTTTACATCACGAGACTGTCTAATGGAAAAATAAAACAACACAAGTAGATGTGTGTACTAGGCAACAAAATGTGGATAAGAAGGCATCAACTAGACTGTTGTCCCGTTTATTTGTTTTTAAAACCTTTGCTCTTGCAATCCTCCATCGGCAGTATTACCACCATCCGGTGTCATTCAAGGTCTCCTCTACAATGAGTTTTAATTGTGAGACATCTGTACTTTAAAATTTGACTTTCATGGTTAATATTGGACTTTTGTCCCAACAGGCGCGAGGAGCTCTCTGGGAGCCCGCTGTAATATCTGTATCAGCCTCTCCAGTCAGGGTGAACCATCCCATTCACAGCGACTCTCTGGGCTTCCATGGCAATTTACTCTCACGACTACACAAAAGAGTCCTCAGAGTCCTCAGAGACCTCGCCAGATAGACAACTGACAACTAACAGCATCTTATGAAAAAATAACACTTTATACTGTTTCCTAACACAGTGAGTGCGGTAGCTCCACAACAACAACAACAACAACAACGACAACAACAGCGGCGGCAGCAGCAGCATGCCGAATGCTGAATGCATCCATTTTAATAAACAGATGCCTATTTGATGTGATAAGCAGGAAGTAGTGAGAAATGAATTATATAAACACTGATTTTATGAACTTTTCAGAACCGCCTCGAGGGCTTTGCAGTACACTTGTCAGTTTATTTGAAGTATGTTTGCAATTATTGTATTTGTTAACTCATGCCAGTATTTTTCACTTGACATGTTGCTCTGGGCCATTGACATTATTGATTCAAAAATAACAATATGGCTTCAGTCTGAACTCCATTTGTGAGCATATTCATAAAACATTTACATATAGCAAGTTTCGCCCTCTCTTTCAACAAAATCCATTTCACTGTCAATTATTATTGATATCTTTGACATTATCATCAGAGTGAGCCAACATGAGTCAAGATCTATATTTACTTTGTAGGCGAGATACTTTTATATTAGCGTAAACAAAGCATTATTACACATCCGATACACGAGAGAGTCTCGGGTTATAAAATCAGGACAATAAAAGCATATATGTCTGTTTTGGCTTGTCAAGATGTGATGCTAAAAAATTCTGCTAATGAGGAATGGGAGTAATGGTGAGTAGAGAAGGAGACCTGCCTGTTTCAATTGCATTAGTTGGATTCAAAACCCATACTGCTATCAGCTTTCCGACAAACACCCTCCGGGCATTAAGTGTCTTTCAAGGAAATCACATTGTTTCATATGATAGGACAACGGAGATTATTCGTACAATGAAATTTTAATTGGAAAAAAGCAAGTAAAGAAAGAAACATACAGAGGGCTTCAACGCAAACTACCACAACACGAGTGTTCCATTTTTGTCTCCCTGTTTAACTTCTGAGTACCTCACATAGCTTGAATACTCTTGGGCATTTATGCGCCTTGTTATTGTGATGACAGAACATCAATTACAAATGCCTATCTCGCCTGCTTAGTTGCAGATGAGAGTTATTTCAGCTCGACACACTGAGATGAGGCGTTAGAGATTAAAATCGCCTCGGCAAATAAGAAAATGTTTGAACAGCCGCACTATTTAAAGCATTTTGAAGACTGCAACAGTGGTGAAAACAATGGAGGATAGCACATCAGTGAGCACATGAGAAGTGACTGCTGAGGTCTGTGAATCTTTAATTAAACAATGTTTGTTTTACATGATACAAATAACAGAGAAAAGAGTGACTAAAATACGCAGAGCGAGTCGTGAACTTTCAGTGCCGGTTAGACTCGTGTTTCTGTATTGGCGTGCTGGAATAATTTGCTTTTTTTCTTTTTTTGCTTAAATATTTTTAAACTGTGAATATTAACCTCACATAATCAAATTTTCTGAAGTTGGTTTTGTGCGTACGTCCGTGTTTGGATCTATGAAGTTGGTTCGTGCCACTGCATCAGCGCTTAAGTACATATTTTATGAAGATCTTATATTTGGTATGGTGGCACAAGTCGCTTGCATAATAGCAACACAATAGCTCTTGATTTGATCTCTTCAGCAGTGTTGCTGTTTATTAAAATCAAGCAGAGCAGAGCACTTCTGATGTAGCAACTTTTTAGGTAGCATTTTCCCTGTTGACTGTGTATTTCTTCATTTTTTGTGATTTGGTGTATGGATGTGTTTCTCTTGATGTTTTTGTTTTACTGTTGTGTGCTTTGTCCTTTGGGCCCAAAGGAGTACAGGGCACAGAATGGACTTTTATCTGTAGGTATGTGAGCAGGAAAAAGATAAAGGCTATGAAAAAAAGTCAGACATAAACACTCACTAAGCACGAAAACCGTGCAATCTAACGCAATCCTATACAAAAGCTCTGCCATACATTTGGCTTTTTGAAGCTCGTACATCTATTGTTGACATTGGAAAGACAATCAGTTTACTAGGTGCGATATACTGCATTACATTTTCAGTATTACAGTATTTAAGATAACACCTGTAGTTGTTGGTGGTAATAGCCAATGCATTTTAATACTGCAGTTCACAGAAATTGGCCAGCAACAAGACAAACTGCTGTTTAAAGACATCAGGCAATAATTGGTCTTTTCCATCATTGTGCAAGCAGCTTAATCATGCAAATGGCACGGGTTTGCCAACAACTAAGTGAAAGTTGGTTACCTTGCTGAGAAGTTGGAGGTATGCAGCCTGTTTCCTGCAGCTCACTCCCTGCAGTGCTTCAAACTGATTCGCTGTAGGGGAAAATGCTGAAAATAGCCATTGTCTTGTTTTGAAGACGATTTGTCAAGAATAAATTGATAAGTGCTAAGCTAAATCGTGATACCAGATGGCTCGTGTTTCTCAGCTTTAATGCGATGCTGCAGCAGGAGGAAATGTTTGGTTTGCATTAGCAGAAACTCAATACAACATTTACCCAGAGACTGTTACTACGCCCAGTTCAGTACTTTCATTTGGAGGCCACGTTCTCAATCAGCTGTGTTACCTCACTCAGAAATAGGCTTATCAGGTGTCCCAGTTTATGCAGGGCTACACATAACATGTATCACTGTCACATATTGAGACACCGTTTCACATTTTGATTAGTTCTAGTTTCCAAAAATTAACTAAAGTGCTTCTCACAAGAAGCCTGTTTGGCTTTAAGAGCATTGTGTTGCTCTACAAAGATGATCACCAGCCAGAACTGAAAGGCGAAACAACAGTTAACATTCTTTTAATCGTTATTGCCAAAGAAAAAGGGAAAACACAAGTTTAGCTTCAATCCATGCTTATTATATTAATAAGTGTGTTGGGAAAACTGCACAAAAAGATCAAATTTGTAAATTGGAAAAATTACCTCTAAGCATTAATGGCTCACAAGCTCCCATTTGGTTACACTATTTGGAGGTACGTGGTGATTTAATAACAATTTTGCCACTTTAATAAGAACACTTTTCAATGTCACGCAGTCCAGCATACCAACAATACCAGACAGGACGGCAATAATAAGCATAAAGTACAACAGATGTCAACAAAAACTGCGAAAACATAATAATGCAATAATGGAACATGCTGTTGCTTTAAATTACACTAGATGATTTTCCTAATAAAGTGTATGTCTTGTTACACATTTAATGTGATAGCACCACACAGATGGTTACATACAGTACATAGTTAATTGCTGTTGCATTGTATTCGCTGTAGCTTTTCATATGTATACACATACAAGTAAAAATGAATGTATGACATAATAGGTAAGGTAAGGACAGATTGTGTGTGTGTGTTGTTTTTTAGGGTGGCTCAGTTTCCAAACTAAATGCGTTCATTGAACAGGATCAAATAACAAGGAGAGAAAACTAGACACCTGTAAACAACCAATGCTTTTTAAGAAGGAATCAAAATGCTTCAAACATAATTTAGACTGTTTACACTGACTCACACTGACTAGAAGTGCTACCTAATAGTTGCCTGCAATAGACTGCTTTGGTGTCACGAGTGGTCTTGAATATTTATCAAAAGGAAAAATTTGCACCTACAACGTAAACAGATTCAAAACCAGACAGCACGCTCAGCGCCTCAGATCCTCCCGAGCATGCGGGCGATCCACCAGTTGCACGGCATGACAATTTGACAGATGACCCGGCCTCCTTGGTAGTAGTATGGCCAGGGGTTGAAGCCACCCAGGGGCTCGTGGTAGCGGCGGCAGAAGCGGTAACCACGGCGACAGTACTGGCAGCAGTAGCCGCCCTCATCCAGACGGTTATCCAGCTCGATTCCAACATCTCTCTGCAGAGGACACAAGAGCGGGCAGGGTTACAATCACACACATGACAAATGCCAGTCCTCCTGAGGCAAGGGCAGGAGAGGAGGAAGAGGAAGGGCTGACATGAATTGATGAGGCAGCTTTGATTGTGGGTCATCGCAATATATGTAAAAGCAAAAACAAAAGTGAAAAGATGTGAATTGATGTCTGCAAAAATGCAAAACGGTGACATCAATTGATGGCAGTGCCAAAGAGATCACGGTTTGAGCTGAGATTGAACGAGCTTGATTTAAGCTCGGGAGCATAAAACATGATATAATACCCTTGACCTTTCTGCAGCACAAAAAGCACGACTGGAGGCTGCACACTGCCCCTACTTTGAATCCAGCGTTCGCAACCTCTCTACTGTCACTATCTCCGGTCGAAGTTACCAGCATAATTACACTATTTCTTTCATCCCTGACCTCTTAACTCCCTCGACCCCAGCACACACTCTGCACTAAAATGACTGCCCCTCCTCCAATAGAGCATTCAAATTAGAGCTCCTCACATCTTGGCGCCCTCCCCCTGACCTTGACTTTAAGTGCATGGCACATTCCTAAAGCAATTAGCAGAGTAATGATCGCCTAACAAGGATTCTTTCATTTGCTCTTGCTGGCTGCCTCTGAATTTATAGAGGGGCCAAATGAAACCCAAACAAAAGGTAAATTGGGTAGAATTAATGGCCCTTGGATTTTTCCATTGTGCTGGTTGGTTCATGCCCTCATGGACTCGTGGGGGCTGAGTGCCATGCCTTTGATCAAGAGCAACTCCAAATGGGGTTCGGAGAAGTGCCACTTAACTCACAGTGTGAGCTGAAGTAGCAACCGCCCTCAGTATGCATTTGACCACATTTCAGTCTCTTTTAGTAAATGAATCCTTGGAGACAATCCGGTGATATCTTGTTAAACTGCTCGGTTCCAGGAGTCAACGGCCTCCGCTGACTTCACATTCAGGAAAAAACGCGAGCACTTACAATGACTCAGCTACGTGCAATAGTGCGGAACAAAACACATCCGCAGCTGGGAAAAGAAAATGTGTGTGAATTGTTTAAGAGGACAGGACCCGCTGGACCACATGGCTGAGTCCCTCTGGTCCCCTACTGCATTAAGTTAGGGAATTTGGGGATTTCTTGCATTTCCTCCACTCGTCAGTAAGCATTCAATCACAGTGGTTTTACACACATTGTTTTCTTGTACGTAGCAGCTCACTGCAATAAATCCACCACATGACTGGCTTGTGAAAACTATGCACCTGATGTAAACTGAGTCAAATTACTTGCTCTTTAGACATATTCAAAACACATAGAGTGCAATGCATTATATCCAGGTAGGTTTGATTTATTACTATGACAGTCACAGGTAGGCTTTTAATGATTTATTGCTTTAGGCAGGTTTCAGGTCATCGGCTCCCAGGCAACAATCGGTTATATGAACAACACGAAACCTGTCAATGGACCAACGATAATCTTATCAGCTCCTCACAGCCCAAACTGGGGTGTTACGAAATCTGGAGCTCAGGCGTGGAAAATGAAGAAAATATTTTATTCAAATGACGCCGGTGTTTATCAAAACAAACAGCCAATAGGCAGCATTGTACCTTAAAGACAATTAATCAGAGCTATCCTTTTAAAACGGAGGGTACATATTAATCACTCTGGCTTTGAGTCGCCGTCTCTAGTGGGAAGCCGCGGTGATAAGAATGGTTCACCTTGGGAAATCTGAGGCAGTCACTCACAAACAAGCAGCATTAATGAAGAGTAAAAGCCATTACCCTCTTGCTGGATCTGATTTCATCACACACATTCTCACATACACATGCAAACTTGCACACAAACACAGACACCTCTGTGCATATTATGAGGAGCTGGATGTGAATGAGTCTGCAGAGTAGAAAACTGCGTCAGTCATTCAATAAGATGTAACGAATCAAAGCATGACTCCTCTAATCTCCACACTTGTTGGTATTATTTCACACACGCTGATCCCCGCTCCTCATGAGCTTGAAGCACATGCCTGGATGTGTTATTAAATCTCAAAGCAGAGCTCATCACATTCATCCGGGGATCAAAACAGCAGAGATAACATTTCTGTTTCACGCTCTGCTTTGTATTCGAAAAGGGTCTTTTTATGTAGACACACAGGACAGTGGAACATATGAAATTCTTTGCTGCGTGTCCTGATCTCTGATTTTCATCTTACTGTTCTCTACAGTGACGTGGAATGACAATGAAATTGGATGTAATTGAATAAGCAGATAGTCATGTATTTCAGTAAACTCTGCTGCTTTACCAAAGTGATAAGGAGCTTTAGCTTCAGTGTAAAGATTCCTCTGGAGGCACAAACAACTTCTGCATTCACGGAATTTGAATTCCTTCAGCTTTTTGCACCTGTGTTATGCATGAACAGCCACTTAGCCTGACCCTGGATGTAGCAGCCAGAGGTTTGTAAGGATAGGTCCCAGACACAAGACAAATCCCAGGACACAAGCAGCAACACGTACAAACACATTTACATGAGTATGAGTGAGGTCAATTCTTATAGAAAGCCCATCCTTGTTATGTGGGTCAAGGACGGCGGTGCAATCCCTTCAGGCCTGTCAGGCGGTCGTTATTCAGTTTGAAATTTCCAGGGCCACCGCTGATACACACTGCACTCTGACATGGCAGCCATGTTAAAGTTCAGCATAATATACATCTGCCAGTCTCTGTGCACTGTGGACAGGCTTGGTGCTCAAATTCAGACTTATGAAATGCAGATGAAGTGAATGCAGAGAAACTGTGAGTAGCAGACTCTGCGGGTGAGCTTCCTTGTTTTTTATACTGTGCCCATTTGCATGACTTTTAGATGAAGAAAAAAAAATAGACTTACACATGTGGCATACCACTGGCAGCAGTGAGAGTTCAGACTCCCAATTACAGACTGCTGCCTGCCCTGTGCCCGGCCACAAAGGCCGTTGTTATCACTGGACCCACAAACAGCGCCTGGACGTGCTGCTGGAATGGATTGCAATGGTATGCATTACTCCGCTGATAGAGGCAGAACGTTCAAAAGTGGAGCTGAGTTTTTCATCCCCTGGTATGTTTTAATTGCATAGCACTGCATCTCCTGCCACAGACAATGAGGAAGAGGACAGAGGAGCTGGGGGGGGGGAATTGAAGAGTTGAGCAGGAGGCTGTTTCTGGGATGGGCCTGATAAACGTCAATATTATAGGATGTCTCATTTCTCTGCATGTCTCACACCGTTTCTCCGAGCCCTGCGGAGGAGACTGAGCCTGACTCATTATCCTTGAATTTAGCTTTAGTGGCTGTTCACCTGTAAGTGCTCACTGCAAGTATATGCATATATCATATATCCTTGCACCTGTTCTTAGGGTGTCTCTTAGTGTGACACTGCAGCTTTTTGTGCTGGTATAAGAGTGTATAAGTCTTGTGTAATATACTATGCGATGTGATTTTCCCCTAGAGTCAGGGATAATTAATCATACGGTATTGAGTGGTTTACATGCTGTACACCAAAATATGCCACTTGGCCTTTCCATTTATTTTATACGCTTTGATAATTAAAGCATTATTAATAAATGTAACTTATCTGTGCAGCGATGAGTGACCTTGAAAGTGCTGCTTTGTACTGTGCTTTCCAGTGCCTCAGAAAAAAAGGAAGTAGAAAAAAAGTCTCTAACTAGGGCTGTAAGGCACAAGTTGCTGCCTTTGAAAGGCTGGATATTCCTCTCAATTAATGGAGAGACATTAAGGGAGTCTTCATTGAACTGGCCTTACTTAAACAGATATATAGAGCAATTGCTATGCCCTCTGGTGCACAAAGTCAGTTTTAACATCAATTAGTGAGCGATTTATATGCAGAAAGAGTTGAGGCAAGAGCTGCGGCTGATTGAAGTGACTTTACTGTATCTCGTGGTGTGGTCCCTGGGTGACGTGGCAGAGAGGGCCCCACTTACATAGTCGTTTACGGGAAGGTGGTCCAGGACGTCGCGGGCAAAACGCTGACCTGTGACCTCGGCATCGGGTGTATCCACATTTACAACCTCAGCATCTGAGTAACAGAACGAGCAGGAGAGAATAAAAGCGAGAGAGAGAGATGTTACTGTATATACTTCCAACTGTTTTCTGTTGTTTGAATTAAAATAAGAAAGCTCTTAGATTCAATTTTGGCTTGAACACTGTGTTTTCCCAGTGGCTTGATGTTACTTACTAGCATTCAAAAGAAATTAATTCCAGGCTTTTTTCACGCTTCTGTCAAACAATGGTGTTATTGCTTTTGTGATACTAACACACAGATGCCAGTTCATAAAGCCTTGGCATCTTTATGAGAAAGAAAAAAACCAAAACCCCCTCTCCAGATGACCAAAACAAGAGGCTGAATGTAACCGGCTACATTTACTGAGGTATATATGTAGGTGTTGTACTTGCGACTAAAGCATGCTTTGTTTCCACTACATTTCCCAGAAAATATTATTTTTTTTACTACATTTATCTGATTGTTACCTTGTAGACACCTCATATACTGCAAATGCTGCAAATATCTTCATCTTAACATGAAAGCCCGACTCTTGGAATGCTTATTTTTCAAAGCACATGGAAAACTGCCGCTTTAGTAAGATAATTGCAAACTATTCAATACGTACGTGTTCGTGTTCTCGGTTAAAACTATTCATCTTTCCTTTTTTAAACCAGCAGTGATTGATATAACATTGACATTACCTTGTATGTTAGTATAGAAAACTTTCTATACTAACATAACTTATTTACACATCAAGTCTGCAGTTTAATATTACTTTTCACATTGAGTTGTGTTCTTAAACATCTTTAACATTGTTTTTGACCTCTACCAGCTAATGAAAGTAAATGCTTGGCTCTATAGCTCCTGAATGTTTTACTATGAGCAGCTGCTGGTTGTTGTCTGTACCCGTCTGTTATGTTGTTCAAGGCTGATAGACTGAGTTTTAAGACAATACAGGAGCATGTAAGAGAAACTTTGCGGGTCAGACAACAAGCTGAAATTCGCTATAAAGCTCTGCAGGGAAGCTGAAAAGGTATGCTTGTCATGAAAATTGCTGTCTTTCACATTATTTTGAAGTTACTGTTTTATATAGGTAGAGATTTTTTTATAAATATATATCATTTATATATATATATATATCATTTATATATATATATATATATATATATATATATATATATATATATATGTATGTATGTATGTATATATATATGTATGTATATATGTATGTATGTATGTATATATATATATGTATGTATGTATATATGTATGTATATATGTATGTATGTATATATATATATATATATATATATGTATGTATGTATATATATATATATATATATATATATATATATATGTATGTATATATATATATATATATATATATATATATATATGTGTTACGTGTGAGCTTAACAGTGCATTAATTTACATTTAAATAATCTGCAATGTAGACTAATCTCCAGGGCCTAAAATAAACCTGTCGGAAGCTTGAAAAACATGCAGTTCCTGTAATGGCCTCTCGGGGCTGGCTTTGAAAGTGAGTCCATCTTTATGCTGAAGCAGAAATAAACATGTTTACAGCCAGGCACAAAAACATTTTAGGCCTTTGAAGTTAATTTTCTCCATATGTTGAACTGTAGAGGGTGAAGTTGTATATAAATGACATTATTAGAGTCACTGGCCAGCTGATGCTAACATAGATTGCTACAGTTGCTAGTTGTCTGCTAGCCGTCAATTTGCTAATTTAAGTCACTGAAAAGAACCTTTCCCTGGCAACCACTGGTCACTAGGGAAAAAAATGTATATTCCCTGATTAGTTGGCAAAAACCTTGTGATTGCATTGGTAAATAGACTGGTACTTACATAGCACTTTTCTACTTTATTTGAACAATCAAAGTTCTTTCTACTACGAGCCGCATTCACCCATTCAACTCTTTCCTCTGCCTAAGTGCTTTTTATCTAACATTCACACAAACACTCCAGTGAATGGATCAGGGACAGTTCAGTTCAGTATCTTCCTTTGACATGCAGACAAGGGATTAAACCACTGATCTTAGTAGATAACTCACTCTACCTGCTGAGCCACAGCTGCACTGGCAGATTGCTGCAGTTACCCGTAATTTGCATGGAAGAAACTGACTTGTCTGCAAACACTTGCCAACTACTCTCCAAGCAGTTGGGAAACTGAAGTGTGAAAGAAACCAGAACTGGAACACTCTTGCAAGACTATCAGCTAACAAGTGTTTGCAGACAAATCAGTGTCTTCCAGCAAAACTACATCACCGCAGCAACCTGCTACACCAAGGCAATGATAAGGATGTTTTTGGTCTAGTCACTGCAGGCAACCTCCAGAAACCGCTCACCAACCAATTTGAGAAGGCATGCTTTTCCCCTCACTATCAATGGTTGTGCCATGTCCAATAGGATGGACAAATCTCAAGAAAGGTGTGTATGACATTACGTGAAAAGTTTCTGACGATGATGTATGTGGTGTTGATTTCTTTTGGAGCATTGTTAAAACTGTGGTCTGTTGTGCTATTAATTAAAACAACAGACTGTCAGATAAGCCTGTGCAAAGCCTGTCTTGCTTTTAGTGAATGAAATGCTAGTATTATTTTTTATGTTAGCACTAATTAACAGGCTTCTGTAGCCATGCAGTGCACTTATATAGTGTATGAAGACAGCTGGACCTAGCAGTCCACCATTACATCCCAAAAGGCCCAAATATTGCAAAATGCCAAACTCGAGGCCTCAAAATATTAATCAGTTAGTGCCATCACAGTGGCCAAATCCAACCTTTATATGTAAAGTATGATACCATATCATATAAAGTAGCCTTTCTGTGACTGTAAGACTTCAAGTGCATACATTTAATAAACTGTGTTTGCACTGATAATTTTGTAGAAACAGAGTATCAGAATATTCCTTTTGCCACGACCATCAGCCTCTCTACTTTTCTAACACGAACAGAGAAGCCTGGGCTGCCTGCTCATATGGTTAGGAACTCATGCTGTCTCCATGGACCTGCTTATGGCCTGTGGAGATGTCCTCCAGCGAGAGTGTTAATAGTCTGCATTTAGAGGCAGAGATGCCCCCTGCTCTCACCGCTCAGGGGGGAAGGATGGATCCAGTGGATGGGCAGCTGCTGGCAAATCTCCCAGATCTTGGAGTCAAGGAGGAAGTCCGGGTTAACGATGGGCTCCTCAGCAGGAACCCACACTTGGGAGTCGTCCACCTTCACATCCATGGCCCCAGTCTCATCCACCTGCTAGAAAACAACACATACAGTACACACACTCACACATATGTTATGTATACACAAGCTAGAGCACGTCGGACCCTGCAAAAATGTCTGCGCCCCACTCGATGTATAGTCATGCATTTGCACTCTGTTCCCCTGAGCCATGCAGCAGCAGCTCCAGCCTTGTCATTTTATCTATCACCTTTGTGTCTGCTGAGAGGACAGCAACTTCCCGACTCCTGACTCCCACTGCCCCGACTCCCTCCTCCTGCTCTCTGTCACCCTCTTCTCAAGCCTCCGGCATGCTCTTTCTATTATACATTGAAATTCACAGACAGTGATGATTTGACTTTTAAATGACTTTAGAAGTGGTCTTCATTACTCCGAGTGTGGCTGCAATATCGTTTAATGTGACAGACACAATAAAGCCTTGCATCCCCCCCCCCACATCACGACCTCACCAACCCCTCCAACTATGCTCCCTTACTCCCTCCCCCTCCGCCACAATGCTTCGCTTGGCACCAAGCACTATCACTGGGCTTAATTTGTTGATACTGTAGTTCATGAGCTGTAAAGTAAACTATTATTGCTTAATGATAGGGACTACATGTCAGTGTTGTCTAATAGAGACATATGAAGGGGATTTGGTAATGCTCTCCCTTAACAGTGAGGATATTTATTTTCTTCATGTATATGTAAATACACACACAAACAAACCCTTCTTCCCATTCCCTTGTTAATTAGCAGCCCAGAACAGAAAAACTGTTCACTTGACAAATGTTTTTACAAGGTGATTTTCTTCCAGTCTAAAGCTTAATTGCACATTAGTTAAGCTTGATGTAGAATCCTGGGGCTATAGTGGGAGCGAGAATCATTTATATTGGGTCGTGCCCCCTCCCTCATGTTTGCCCCTGTCACTCTCGCATGAATTAGAATTTTGCTTTTCATGCTGCTTCTTGTTTGTCTTCGAACGACACAGCTGTGACCTGCGGAGACGAAGAAGAGGAGAAGGAAGAAGAGGCGGCTTAAGCGCATTCTGTCACATCAAAGAATGTGTTTGGGTGCGGGAGGTGCTCAGCCAAGCTTTCGACACACTTTCCCTCACTTTTAAGCGCCGGCCAGCAGACTAATGATGACTCGGAAGACTGGTGTAGCGGGGTGGTGGTGTTACAGCAGAGAGGTTGCTCTGCCGCAGAGCTGGTGTGCTCACCGTTCCTGTGGCTGCAGAAATTAAAATCAAACTCGAGCAACACAAACAGCCCTCTCTAATTGGACCTCTTAACCATTAAAGCCAAGTCAGACTTCTCTGGAAAGTAAATGGAGGTCACGACACGGGGCCCGCAACATGACTTTGACTTCACAGTTGAGAAACGACTCCAATAACTTGTAGGAGAGAGCGCCTTGGGGGAGGTAGTAAAGGTCAGCATTTTAGCATGGGGCAGGGATTTCTAAATGCCAGTTGACAAGCACAAAGACAACATGATTACAGTCCACCAGTTTATACATACTTTTGAAAGGCTTTTCCATTTTGCTATTGACAAATGATATATTATTAGGACACAAGCAACTTTTTTATCAAGTATTGGACCTTGGGAATGATGGTAATTTGTTTTGTTCAGCCCTCTCCTGGTGTATGTATGCTTTTCGCCTACAGTGCACAACTTAATTATACACCAGTTGTGCTGTAGTTAATGAATTTACCCTCTCCTGCCACTGTGTCCCAAGGGGGGGAAACACTGTTGACATGACACATTGTTTAAAGTGTGTGCTATGTTTGCCAGAGATCAACAAAGATTTTCTCGCCATACCCAATGGCTTTCACACGCTGCACCTAACACTGGCAGTTTTCTTTTTTAATCTAACATACCTGGTGGGGAATTTCAGTTGACAGGCATATTCAGGCAGCTTACCATGTTTGTGCTGCTGCCTGCTTAAGGGCACTAAAGGTGCCGATCACACCAACATTTAAAAATGCTAATTCTGCAGCAATAATAAATACGACTCTCCAGGTGGATTTGCTTTGGCAGATGTGGCAAAGTAAACGAGTGGAAAAAAATTCAGCTTTGTTCACCTTTGGGGAATTTTGCCATGCAACTTTGCGCCACTGACAAACAAAACGGTCCTGATAGTGCGAAACCCTGAGTCCAAAATGGCCTCTATGGGAGATTTTTGCAATATCAAATATTTCTCTGCTGGGGAAAAAAGTGTGCCCAAAGAGGAAAGTCATGACACAGTAGTAGATTTTATGATACAGCTTTTGACTAAGGAAGCTCCTGTGTCAGCGAGTTCCCGGCTGGGTAGCATGTTAGTGGTTCATTTACCAGCTATAACTACAGTAGCCATGTGAGTTGTTACAGCATCACCGAGTCCCATATTTTGCAAAGACGTAAGGATGAATTCTGCTTTCCCATTTTCTGGCTTGACACGACCTTATTACTGAACACAGCAAATGCAGGAACCGAACGTTTTGTTGCAGTGCCACAAAACCACCCTGCCATTCACTGACAAAAATGACACAAAACAGTCCGCACTGTGCGCTCGCAGGACTTTGGCGTATTCGCAGCCTCTGCAGCGGTGTTGTTTCCTCATCACACTGCTTTTCTGTTTGTAGTTGTCGTCTGAGTGGGAGGTTTTTGGTTGCTGGGCGAGCTTTGGTCATCCATATTAAGTGGCTGTTTAATGGAGCAAACGGCATCCATTCACAATTTTAAGGGGAGTGAGGGAGGCTGATGGCGATTCCTGTGTCAGACTGGGGGAACTGGAATGAAGCTCAGGGATTACTCCCTCAGACGTTTCATAGAGAAGGCAAATTGAAAAGGGAAGGAAAAAATCCTGGCAAACAATTCATGTTTGTCACCTGGTTCTCCCTCGCAGGGGCTGCATTTTCTTATCAGCCGCTTGCAGTTTTACCGCAGTTTTTTCCATTGTTTTTCACCTCAGCTCTAAAGCCTGCCACGGCTGCTCTGAGCCCTTTTTCCTAAAAGCCTGTGGTGGGGTTAAGCTAGGAACCATTAGCAGCTGGCTTTCACCCCTGTGAGCTTCATGTGTTTCACCACCTGAGGAGGAACTTGTGCTGATCTTTTCCAGGGTCACACGTGGGTGGATTTTCACAGAGGATGGAGCAGGGGCTGCTGTCTAATGTGAGGATAGACTTTGGTGGGGTCAAGCCAAGGTCACTGTTTATTACCTCAATATGCCCCCCTGGTATTTACTGTATTTTTGTTGTGTAATCTAGTTTTTTTGTGATAAAATCATCACCTGCAGAAATATTAGCCACAGTGTAAAGTGGTTTAAGTACAGAGGGGACAGAGCATAAAGAGAATAATGTATCGCATTTATGTGGTATTGATTGATGAATATATATATGTATGTGAATTGACTAATTATGCAGCTTCTTGCAGAGAGTTAGATAAGCTGAGTCCCGGCGTCGTGTCTGTCAGCTGATGACGTGCCAGAGTGTGCAGCTACAGATTCATTTCAGTGAGCTGGAAAAGATCAGTGTGCAATATCAGATCACGAATGTTTATGGCATCTTATCATGTTAGTTTACACACATATTACAAATTTGCAAGCTAAAAACACGTTTTCCGTGACCTTCCCGGAGTCTTCTAGTTATTGCTTTGAGGTAACCAGGCGAGCAGCACAAGCACAAGGAGAAAATGTTCCTCCAGGTAAAACGTGCCATGTTTGCAATCTGCTCTACATTTCTGAATGTGCAGGCATTTGCATGCTTGTACAGAGACAGGCTCTCCGTTTCCTCCTGTTTCCAGTTGTTATGCTAAGGTAAGCTAACGAGCGCCTGGCTGTCGCATCAATTTAAATGCGCAGACATGAGATTGGAATCAGTCTCCTCTGCTCACTCTCAGCACAATAATCTTCCTTCAAACACCAGAATCTTTAGAGATTATGAAGTCCACGGCTGAAGAGAATTATATTTACATGCCACTTTGCAACACTAAATATGTTTTCAGCTTGTTTGTGGTTTTTACCAGCATGTAAGAAAAACGGTTTAATTTATTGTCCTACAATTGTTTTTCAAAAGCTATAGGGAGGAACTAAATCTTTATTCCTTCAGGGGTTTTTCAGTGAGTAAACATGGCATCATGTTGGATTTTGCGATACTAACGTCCACCTTAACCACCTGCAGTGCAGCGATATGCTGTGTTTACTTTTATAAATGTTTCCTTTTCATATAATCAAAGCGAGAATAATGCATTCTCAAAACACGCAATATGAAATTAGTTAGCTGTGGTTGTAGTTTAGAAAAACGCTTTGTAGGGGGCAGGGCTGTGTGTTTGCTGCCAGGTTAACACTACTTAGAAAGTTGAGTCAAAGCTCTTTTCTTCTTGTGTGTCATCTCTTACGGCAAGATTGGAACAGACTACAATTAGACCTTCATGCAAGCCGCAGCTTAGAAACGAATCATTACTTTATTGAAAGGCTTCCTTAACTACTGGTATGTGTCCTATCACTTTGCTGGCCTTAGATGATTTACTTTGGAGCTGTGAATTAAGCCAATTAGGCTTCACAGTGCACAAAAGAAGCTAGAGATGGCACGGACATATGGTGCTGCCTGGGCAATTAGTATCTGTAAACGTAGATCAGACATTATAAAGATGAGAAGAATTTAAAACAAAACAGTGTTTGGTTTTTTTGGGGTGTAACAGCTTGTGTTCTTAAAGTTAAAACCAATAGTGGTCTTACAATTGCCTTATTGTGTTTTTAAAATAAGGCAGTGAGTGGGGTGCGTCAGATATTTGCCAGCTACTTCTTCTCAGCTACAATGTGAAATGTAAATGAGAGTATGCTAGCAGTAGAGACATTCGAGAGGAGGATTTTCTCTTTGAACATGCAGCCCACTCTGTGAATTGCACTGTGACACTGAAAAAATGGGAATTTTGATTGACTGAATTTCCTCCATTCCTTTTTCTGAAGTTCACACACAACTGTAGGAATCCCGAAAATGAAAATAAATCACTCTAAACCTGGAGAGGGAGCCTTGTGAGTTTTGCAAAGAAAACAGCTTTAAAAAATATATAATTTTAATGGTTTACCTCTCCCTCAGACCTCTCTTCCACCCTTCCCCCTTTAGGCTATTTGGGTAAAGCCTTTGGAGGAGATGATTAAAAATTAATATTTGGCTCAGGATTGACAGCAAACACCATTTGATGTGAGCCACAAAGAGACTATGGGTTTTCGGGTAGCTTTCAGGCGGTTTTACAGTTACCACAAACCCTAGGTTTTTCTTCAGTGAGAGGGTTGGGGGAGATAGGACAAGATGGACAGGCCGAGGATTTGTGTGGCGCTTGCGGTGCTCAACTCTGGTTATCTCCCTGCAGTATGCATGACAGCCTCTGCGGGACCGAAGAGAGTCCGAGCTACATGCAACAGAGAGAGGAGGCATACCAGCAACTCCGTGTCTTCAGTCTCCACCTCTGCCACTGCGGGTAGTTTCTTAGTTTGGGCCCTGATGTAGCACCTCTGATGTTCAGCAAACCGGATCCCAGTGATTCCCTTTGAAAAAGAAAAAGAAATGAAGGGATACTCAGGAATTCAGATATATGTATCATTCAGTAGCCGTCTGTGATGTGGATATCTCATATGAACTGAGGCAATCATTTTAAAATGCTCAGCTTTTTGCCGATAATCAAAGCTGTTAAAAAGTTAAAACCTAATGAGTACGAAGAGGTGTGTTTTGATCTTCTTCTTCATGTTTTTTTTTTACTTTTATGTCATGGCATAAACTGATGTCTGCTTGGCTCTTGCAACGCAGCTTTTGCTTTCAAGCTGAATGAAATAGAAAGGTAGCGGGTGTTCCACTGTGGCTCGGTAATGCTTTATAGCAGGATATATCGCACAGGAGAGCCAAGTGACATTGTTGAGAATGAAGTGTTTTCTACAGAGACTGCCCCCATTGAATTAGCCAGTCATAGGTCCCTGTCACTCTCTTAATCTGCGCAGTCAAGTGTGGAGTCACTCTCTTCAGCTCCACTGATGATCCTCCACCATGTGGACCGTGGCTCTTTTCAGTCTGACACACAGAGCCTCAATAGGCGAGAAAGATCTGTTAATTCCCTCTCGCCGCTATTGTATGTTAATCTAAGATATTCAGCCGGAATAAGTTTGAAAGACTTTCAGTAGATCAGATTGTATCCAATTTATTTTCTGCAGAGAGCTGCTCGTTCAGCACACAGTATTAGAACAGACGGCGGGATCTACATCTGCCACAGTTGCTTTAAACTCGCATCAAGTAAAAATTGTATGAGCCGTACCATGAAAATGGACTTGATTCAATCTAAATTTAATTACACTTACACGGTGATTGCTATGACATCTCCTTTGAATTGGTTAACTTGACCATGTGGGTGCTATTTCTATATTTTCAGCGGTGCTGTCACTCCGAGAGCCAGATACCAGCTGTACGAGACACGATACAAAGTGATGGCTGTCATAATCTACTGCATGTAATTTCATCTGTGTGGAAAAAGGATGGGGCAATAATAGTCTCAAGCACAAAAGCATTATGTTTATGCCGGGCTTTATTGTGATGAGTCTCTGTTTAATTTGGATCTACTGTGTTGGGGAGCTGCAGCGCTAGAAAAGAGGGCGATGTTGTGATGAGATACACTGATTACTGGGCTTGGTCAACCAGAAAATGAAGAAAGACACATTAACATAGGGCTGAGAAATGGGAAAGCAATGCCATTTTAACAGACAACATTGAAAGATCCACTTGGTGTATCCACGTGCAAGATGCTCATCTAAGTTTTATCAAGAGAATAGAGAACATGTAACAGCATGCATCATTCAGCTCATTCAAATGTCAGCTGGCATTAGTCTGGGCGATGCCTTCACATTACCTGCAAAAACGTCTGTAATTATGTGACATTTCTTACCCATGAACTATGCAACTCTCCTTTTACGAGATGGAACATGAAAATGTTAAACGGCATGACAATTATATCTCGTTTAAAATATTAAATACAGCCTGCACAATACATTACACGTTATCAGTGTGGCAAGGTGGACCTGTATGAGTCTAAAACAAAGAAACCTCTAAATTTTAAAGATTTCTTCACGTTTTGTTGTTACTGATAGTCCACCTCACAATATCCGGACATCACAGTCAATCACAGAAATCCAAGCAGGATGCTATGTTACCGTAGGCTATCCTCAACTTCATCAAAAGTTTTCCTGCAGTCATGAATTTCAAAAGTGCTCCAAAGAAATTTTCGATGGATGAGTGCTGGAGGCGAGGTTTGATGCTTCCGTTTTATTTGCTGTGAGAAGAGGAGGCAGTAGACCGTATAGCAAAAAAAAAAGACAGGTTTTTTCTTCTAAATTCCCCTCTGACCAACACATCCTCGTGGTTAAAGGCTATCTGCAAAGACGACTGGCTAACATGAAACAAAAGAAGTAAAAACGTACAAAACAGCATCTTATAAACAGAAAGGTTGGATGTGATTATGTTGCTCCGTGTTTTATTGTGTAAAGTACTCCTAAATTATTTAAATTATCTGTCAAAATGTTGACTGTGGTATGTGCCTGAAGTTTAGCCACAGAAGCTTTACAGGACTGTTGAGGCTGACTTGCTGTGTGCAGGCTGCCAAAAGATAGACTTTAGAAGACATTCAAGGACAGCAGCAGTGAGGACACGAAACTTTGAGCCAAATGGCTCGTCTAAAGCTGCCTTTTCAAGTCGAACCTGAAAAAGAGAACTAATTTTTAACAAGGGGCTTGATGTTGTCAGGTTTTTTTTTGGACATTTTATAGTTGATGAAGCAGAAATATATCACAAAAAATAAGCAGCTGCAAAACTTTTTTTTTTTAAGGATTACATTAGAGAAATATTACTTTTACTATCAAGTTAAGATTTTTGTATGACGACACATAGATCATTTAGCATAAATATATATCTGACACTTTTTTGACAAATTTCTCGAAAATTGGTTACAAATTCAACAAGTTATGATTGATCTGTCTTTCTCCATCGTTTTTGTTGCTTTTGCCCATTTGACTCATTTTGTGATTCAGCCTTCAGTAGTACAATAACACATGTTTTGCAGATATTTGTCCAAATAAGAACACTTCTGTCAAACTGGTCCAAATTTGCAATGAAACAGTCATGTTGTTGCCATAGCCAGCACGAATTCAAGTGAAGTCAAGGACATCCACATCAGACTTGATGGAGGGTACTGATTTCCTGGCATTATTGTTAGATATTAATATATCAGTCATTTGGACAGTGTCACCAAGATTAGGTTTTGACCGGGACGTTGATGGTTAACTGCAGAGGAATTAAAGAAAAAGTAAACACTGAGAGAAAGTGTCTGTTAAAAACACAACTTTAACATAAATATTACAGAATGGCTGCACTCGCCAGCTGCTGCTTCCAGCATCTGTGGTGATTTATGGATGCTGGCAACCTTGAACTAGGATAGTACTATTTGAAAATAAGAAGTTAAAACATATGACTGACAACTTCTGCAGTCTGAACTTGAGCCAAGTCAGATGTGGAAATACTTGCGAAGCTGGCGGGAGTTATAGCTTAGGGTGTGCATTGCCTGATGAAGGTCAGGTGGTAAATGAGGGAAAAACGCTGCTCACCCTTGTTTCAGACGGCTCTGCTTATGGTTTCCTCTCACAGTCTAGGGATATATTGTGCTTTCTTAAAGTTTTCTGACGCTTGGAAGATTTACAGATTATTTTGTTGGCTCGGAATCATCTCAGAGTGAATTCAGTTCCAGAGGTGTGGACTCGAGTCACATGACTTGGACTCGAGTCAGACTCGAGTCATTAATTTTATGACTTTAGACTTGACTTGAAAAAATGTTCTAAGACTTGTGACTTGACTTGGACTTTTACACCAATGACTTGGGACTTGAATTGGACTTGAACCGGTTTACTTGAAAAGACTTGATATTTTACCCCAAATATAAAATTTAACATGCATATTATATAGAGATTGAAAATGTGACGTCATTCACGGGTAGAACCGCAAAGGATTCTGGGAACTCGTGGCAAGCGGTACTAGCGCACGCAGGCTTTCAATTAAAATCAGTTATACAGCGATAAAAAGAAACACAAAAATGTCAAGAAGCTGTTGTATTATTAACTGCAATAGCCGGTCGCATGACAGCCACGGGAAGCCGACGGGTAAAGAGATCGGTTGTTATCGGATTACGTCGTTGAAGAGAAATTGTTCAAGCCATGTTTCCGAAGTAACAAAGACGCGACTGGATTGCAGCCATTCAAAGACCAAATATAACGTCCCAGAACACTCCAGTTCACAGGTTAGTCTGCTCCAAGCATTTACACGAAGGTCAGTCTGCTGTTGTAGTTAATGCGTCATTTTCATAACATAATTGGTGATATAGGTTACAAGCAAGTCTGGCGCTGAACAGAAATTGTCGCGCTATGCTCCTTTGTTTATTGTGCATAAATAGTGAATTGTCCTGACACAATATTGCGTTTCGCTTCTGTTATTATGGTACATTGACAAAAACATATACTTTTATTCACAGGATAAAACAGGTTTTTTGTATCACTAATTGCCCAGTGCGATTACAGACTGCGGTAAAGTGAGCCGTCATTTGTGAGCCGCGGTCAAGCCAGCCGCCTCCTATCCGCGCGGTGATTACAGCATACAATATTGTTGTCACTGCTACATTTCTGTAACTTGTACCAGAAATTATTTCCACTACTAATTAATTACCGTTGAGCTCAAAGGTCCTATTAATAAACGGTTAATGAATGTGTATTTATGACGACAATTTGTGAGACTGGTAAACTTATGATACGTACGATGGTCTTTCGTTCTACACGGTGCATTTCAAGGTCCTGCACCCATCCGTCGGTAAACTGTACCTGGGCTTGTTGCAGTGACCGGAAGTTACTAAACTTCATGAGTGTATGCGCTCACTCCAAGAACCGTATGATTATAAATATGCATATAAATATGCTACGATGAGATAGCTGACTTCATCTAACTAGCAAATGTTGTCCAGGCTACGTTGGTGATACAGTTTTTTTTAATGTGTATGATATTTTTGTCATGCGATTTTAAAGCCGGTCCTACAACCGCATCCAAGAATAACATGCAGCTTATCTCAGAACTGTCGGTGAAAATTATTCTTGGAGCTAGGTTTAATTGAGCTGCATTTTAAAGAGGTGCAATTTCACAATTTGTGTATATTTTCCAAGTTCACTATTTTGTCATGTGTTGAGAAAAACACAGATTTAAAAATTACATGGTCTAATATTTACATTTAGCATAACTGCAACATTATTTTTTCGTTTTTTTTTTTTTTTTTAAAGACTCGAAAGGACTTGAAATTCAAAGTTTCAGACTTGTGACTTGACTCGGACTTTTACACCAGTGACTTGAGACTCGACTCTGACTTGCCTGACATTACTTGAGACTTGACTTGAGACTTGAGGATAAAGACTTGAGACTTACTTGAGACTTGCAAAACAATGACTTGGTCCCACCTCTGTTCAGTTCCCCACACAGTATCCCACGAGAATAAAATTAAGAACACAATATCCCATTTGCTTAAGCATTTAGATCTTTTGTAATACCACTGTTGAGCTCCACAGTTGACTTTTATCATTGCTGCTTCAATAGTTTGATTGAGTCCACTGTAATTACCTGAACTAATTGTGAACTAAATCGACGTAATTAGAAAATTCGCACACCTGCCCGTGCTGCTATCAAACACAGTGGTCGTAGGATTGTGCTGCAACTGGGAGTAGAACATAAGTCAGGCAAAAGGAAAAGGTTAATGTAGAAAATATGGGTCAATTTTAAGTGAAGGCCTTTTCCAGAGTCCTCAGGGTCTCAAATTTGGGCGAAGATTTATGTTTTATCTAGACAACAACCTGAAGCAGGCTTCAAGAAGAGTTTGAAAGTCCTGAAGTAGCTTAACTAGAGCTGAGGCTAGAACCGCATAGAACTAAGCATTTATGAAGAAACGTGAAAAATGGCTGCGCACCAACTCCTTCCATCCAACTTGGTTGAACTTTAAAGATTCTGCCTGCAAGAATAAGAGTGACTTTTAACAGAAAGGTGTGCCAGACTTCTAGGATTATTTCCAACGAGACTCCAGGCTGCCATTGCTGCCAAAGGTGCTTTAACAAAGAAGGATTGTAGAGGTCTCTGCAGTGCTGAACTGCTGAACTGCTTGACCTTCACATTGCTGCTGATATTTTCTGATGTATTTACAAAACCTTTTTATTCTTGTAAATCTACACCTAACAAACAACAGGATCAATCTGAAACAACACACACACACACACACACACACACACACACACACACACACACACACACACACACACACACACACACACACACACACACACGTGTTTCCATGAATTAAATTAAAGATTTGTTGAAATTTCTTGTTAAATGTCAGGAAACAATAAGCGTGGTTCTTTGTTCTTTACAGGAAAGGCCACATTACCTGAGCATTGTTTGAAGCCTTTGTAGTTGGAAAACTTGGGCAGCCTCACTTTTGCATCATCCATCCGCTTATCCTTTTCAGGGTCGCGGAAGTGAATGGATGGATGGACTTTTGCATCATTATGTCAAAAATTTAGAGAATTCTTAAGGAACTCTGTCGTTGAGTTTGAAGGAAAGCAATCACACATCATGCAACTGGAGAGATAACAGAACCAACAGAAAGTAAACTTAACTTTAACACAATGGCTACTTAACATGCTCCAATTTTGACTCTGTTCTCACTTTATTATACCTTTGCTTTGTTGTGCAGATAAAATTGAAACACCAATTTGAAACCTTGTGCAGAAACAAATTTCTGTTTGCCTAAATGTTCTTTGGTTCAGTTGTTCACTTCGTTTTAACGTGAAAACGACCCCTCTCAGGATGTCTCTTTCTCCATTTTTCCTTCCTCTCCTGTTAAAATGAGTCTAATGGTTCACAGTCCTGGTGGTATAATCCCCTCATTTTCCATTCATCACACAGCCCTCGGGCTTGATGGAGATTGTTTTAAAGGTGGCTTTGGTCTGTGTAATAACATGTGACATTCCCCTTTTTTGTATTAAACAAAATCAATTCTAACATCAGTGTAAAAGCTTCCACTTAGTATAACCAATTGTAAATTTTCTCTGAGATTTTTGTCACAATGAGGTTTGAATTATTCTGCTCACTCGCTTGTTACTTAGTCTTCCATGGTGGAGCACTGAATCAAACAAATCTCCTCGGGGGATGTGCTTCACTAACAGGAAGTGGAACAAGCAACAGGCACGCATGTTTATGTATGTGGGCCACAAACACAAACACGCACACACATACACCCACACGCAAACACAGAGTGGGCTCAGGGAGGGAGAGAAGGAAATAGAGAGACTGATTGCAGGGGTTAAAGTTTTCCGGTGCTGTGCTGGTTTCTGTCATATAGCCATTTTAGATTCACAAAGCCCATTGTAACAAAAACAATAACGATTCAGCGTAGGTTTTTGTTTTGGATGAGGTGTATCCTGTAACATTCAGCCTGGCAACTCAACATTTCACAGTAAATAATGGTGTGAGAGTAAGAGCATTCATTACCCAGCCAAGCAGCACACTCTCTACTCCGAGGTGCAGCATGTGTAACCTCCTGCACAGTCGAGCAGGATTTAGGAATGAAAGGTAAGTTAATGAGTTCGGCTGGAGACAAAATTGCATTTGAAAAAGGTGCGAGAAACAAATAGAGACGGGTTTCTTAATAGCGTTTGTCTCTGTACTGTGAAAAAGTTGGTGTATAGAATTAGTGGGAAGAAAGCGATTTTTTTAATGGGGGTCTGAATTCTTCGCTCTGGGTTGCTGTGTGTGTGCACAAAGTCACATAACAAATCTCCTTGTGCGCTGCTGCTTTAGTATCAATTACTGATACCATAAGTGCTGTATTTTTGCAATTGTGTTTTTGATCCTCCCGTGAACACCTCAGTGAGAATGATTTCCATCACTCTGTCTGTGTGATGTTTCAAAGGTTTGTACCATCTTTTTTCCCATCCAGAGTGACAAAGGATGAAATAAGAAAAATAGGATTTCAAGAAAGGATAAATGTTGTCAATTGTCTCTTAAAAAAGGGCAGGATGTGAACATCATACAACATCCTCTGCTGACGAGAAGACATGGGTACAGCTTCAGTTTTTCATCAAAAGAAAAAAAATAGCTTACATGGCCTTGTTTAACCTTTACTTACATTTTTGAAGTCGTGGACCTCGAGAATCTCCTCACTCCCATTTCCCATCTTAAATATTTCAACGCGGTGAACTGGGTCTATCTCCATTGTACTGTCTGTCTCCACGCCATCCACCACAGCTTTGTACTCGTGGTCATACACCTGCAACGACACAAACAACCACACGCCCCTCTGATCAATGCACGAGCGATGCTTTCGCCATTCCTTACATCGCTCAATAATATAGATCAGTGAAAACATCAAAAATGAAGCAATTTTCTGAATTTTTCAGCCGTCTTTAAAGGCTTAACAGTGCTTTACAATTTAACAATGCTGCGCTGCCAACATCTCAGAGTTTTTTCAATTATTCAAGCAGGTCTGGTGTTGTTCTCATTGACAGCTGTTTCACTGAAAGGAAAAAACAATTGACTCAATGGTGGCACCGAATGCAGGATTATGAATTGGAATTTCATTTTCGGGTGCCAAAACCAGAAAAAACACAACAGCCGCAGAATAATTGTCACAAAATGGTGAGAAGTGTGAATGAGATTGACACATATTTACAGGCTATTGAGCGCCGGTTTATAGAATATTCAACCGTTAAATAAACATATGTTTTCATATGTCACCCGCATCTGAACGGAGATCAAAATGATCCATAATTACAAAAAACCAACAGATGAATACAAAAGACCTGCAGAAAACATGTGACGCGACTACAACATCAGACTGAATAATGAGGTCGAATGACAAACCAGCTCCCATAAGAAAGGATAAGAACAGAAAAAAATATGAGTTTTAAATACTTGAAGCTGCAGTAAGCTGGCTCAGTATCAGAGGGGGTTAAAAGTCAAGGGTTGGAAGGTAACACAGCTTTTCCAAACATCCCAGTTTTATTTCGGAGGATTACATCATTTAACTTTACACACAGAAACAAAAAAAGATTTCACAGAAACCAAAAACTACCAGGGTCGAGCTTATTAGCTCCCCTGATGCTAACAGTCAGTTGTTTATCCTTTTTGCTGGATAACAACCTTTAGTCATTTGTTGTACCTTTCAACATGTCTAACACATCTCTGAACTTCCTTCAATTTTGATGGTCCTCTGGCACGGACGTTGGATGCTCAATCCAGTCAGTAACATTCATTTTGAACTTCTGGATGTCGTCCTTCACTAGGAGTGACGTATATTTGGCCCATTGTCGTCACAGAAGACAAAGCGACGACCCAGACCCAGTTTTGCTACTGGATGCTTGAGGTTTCCTTTCAAAGTCTTCACGTATCCTTCTCTCTTTGTGATTCCTTCCATCTTCATGAGATTCCCAGTTCCAGACCCAGCCCACAGCATAATACCACCACCACCGTGTTTCACTATAGGGTTATACACACAAAAATGAGCTCAAGTTTCATGTCATCTAACCAAAGGACACGATTACAGAATGCATAATTTTAACAGACAGACACTATCTCTACTTTCAAGATTAGGCTTCAAACTTTCCTTTTTGCTAAAGCATATAGTTAGGGCTGGACCAGGTGACCCTGAATCCTCCCTTAGTTATGCTGCAATAGACGTAGGCTGCCGGGGATTCCCATGATGCATTGAGTTTTTCCTTTCCAGTCACCTTTCTCACTCACTATGTGTTAACAGACCTCTCTGCACTGAATCATATCTGTTATTAATCTCTGTCTCTCTTCCATAGCATGTCTTTATCCTGTCTTCCTTCTCTCACCCCAACCAATCACAGCAGATGGCCCCGCCCCTCCCTGAGCCTGGTTCTGCCGGAGGTTTCTTCCTGTTAAAAGGGAGTTTTTCCTTCCCACTGTCGCCAAAGTGCTTGCTCATAGGGGGTCATATGATTGTTGGGTTTTTCTCTGTATCTATGAAGCGCCTTGAGGCGACTTTTGTTGTGATTTGGCGCTATATAAATAAAATTGAATTGAATTGAATTGAATTAATTCATATTGTACTTCAGTCTTCTGCACAAGTGAAGGTTTTCTCGGTCTGCAACCTCACAGTCCATTCCTGTGCAGCGTTCTAGCAATTGTCTTCTTTGAGTCTAAGATTCCCAACTTAGACAAGTCATTCACTAATGTCTTGGAAGTTAATTTGGGGTCTTTAGACACATCTCTCACTAGCTGTTTTCCAGAATCTTTAAAATCTTTTGCTGCCTACTTCTGCCAGGCTTATCCTGTACTGTGTGGCCCTCTTTGAATTTCTTGATGATAGTTCTCACTTCAGTTCTTGACACTTGGAAACTCGGCAATAACTGTATATCCATCTCTTCTTCATGAGCATCAACAATTCTTTTTCTCAAGTCCAAAATGGCTTGTTGAAGTTTTTATACTTTTATAGTTTAAATTGATCGCTAACCATCGGTTTTAACTTGGTTTTACACACTTTGAGCATTGCAACGTTAAAGCACATCATTACACAGCAGTGGGTTTTTTTTTGCTGTGGCTCAATAAAAGGATCAGTTTTTCAGAGGGCTAATAATACTGACCCTGGTAATTTATGATTTTTTATGAAAACAATCTGTTATTGTGTGCAAAGAGAAAAACTTTTTAATTTAAAAGTGCGATAAAATTTAAATTGTTGTTGTTATGGATGCCAGACATCAAAAGAGAATGACTTGACTCCTTAAAGCTGATAGGAAGACAACACCCATCCATCCATCCATCCTTCCATCCATCCATCCATCCATCCATCCATCCATCATGAGCTTATCCCACTTGCCATTGGGTTAGAGGTGAGGCTAACATACTGATACTGCTGCCTTCATTCTATAGGACGACAACAGTAACTCAAATAACCACGACCAAAGTATGCAGAAGAGCATCTCTGAACACATGTCAAACCTTGAAGCAGATTACCTACAGCAGCAAAAGACCACACCAGGTGTCATTGTTGTCAGCTAAAAAATGGAAACAGAGGCTGCAATTTACACAGGCTCACCAAAACTGTACAACAAATGACTGGAACTACGTTGCCTGGTCTGCTGAGGTGACATTTAACATTTGGCTCTATTCTGTCTATCAGTGGGTCAGGCTGGCAGTGTAAGGATTTGGCGGATATTTTCTTGGCACCACAGCCTACCTGGAGTTGTTGCTGGCCATGTCCTTCTCTTTACGATCACACTGTACCTATCATAAGAAGTGTGCTTGCAGCAGAATAACACGCCATGCCTCAAAGCCAAAAATAAAATCAAACTGCTCTCTTGAAGGTGACAATGACTTCACTGTACTTAAATGAGCTCCACAGTCCAAAAATCCCAATCCAATGGAGCACCTTTGTGATGATCTTTGTATCATGGGTGTGCAGCAGACGGCAGCAGTGCTACCAAGGTGTATCTAATAAACTGGCCGTGTATGTGAGAGAGAGAGAAGGGGGGTGTTGGGTGGAGTAAAATGTGCTGTTTTGGCTGCCCGCTGTGCCTGAAAAAGAGGTCAATTAAAGTCAACCAAAATAGCAGGAAATGTGCAGCAACCAAAAAAACCGAACTAAAAGTGCCGAATGAAAACCGCAAGGCCAAAGAGAACTGCTTAAATGACTCCTTTTACATTACGCAGTCCCTGATAAGCCATTGTTAATATAAAAATATCCACTGTAGCAGAAAGCTATCACAGCTTCCCAGTTAGCTTCATTTGTTATCAGTTTTAAAACAGTGGCTGCAATATTTTCCAGATATCTTGAAAAATAAACAAAAACAATATCTAACTGATTCAAAATGACAGCTTCTTAAACTTCAGTGGTAGCATGCACTCGAGCAATTAAAGCGGGAGGGCTAGTAGGAGGAGTTGGCCGTCCGACTGCGGTCTGGGGTGTGGGGCCTCCCTGCTGCTGCGGAGTCGGGGTGGTCTGCCTCTCCCCACCGCAGGGAAAAGGGTAACACCACCTGGGTCTGGGTGCAGTTCCCCCCTCCAGGGGCAAGGGTACCTAGACCCGGTTTGTAGAGTACGCTTGGGGAGTGTGATCGTGTGTACAGCGTCTCTTTATGTCTGTCTCCACGTTGGTTGAGTGTGGAGTGAGTGCATATGAGAGCATGAGGGTGGGAATGGATGTTTGTGTCTGTGTGTGCCTGTATGTCTGTGTCTATATGTCAGGTTGGGTATCAGACGCCACCTCTCTGGGGACACCTCAGGCCCTCCAAGGTTTGGAGGCCTATCTCCACCCACCACCACTTCCCCTGCCGGTGGCGGACTCCCTCAGGTGTCGGTGTGTTGGTGGTTCTTTGTATCTGGGGGTGGGCGTCCGGGTACACACCGGCTCACTCCTTGGCGGCCGCTTGTCGGGGCCTGGGGCCTAGGGCTCGCTCGGGCCCCTTTGGAGGTGGGGTGCCCCCGGCCTCTCGGCCTGGGGCTCGGTCACTCAGGCACAGCTGGGGGCCGGCGGAGCTCACGGGCGCGTCACTGCAACTCCCCCTGACTTCTGCTCCGCGGCTGCTGGGCGAGCCCTCATCTGGGACTCTCCTCAGCTCTTACTGGAACAGTGGCGCGGCTGCCCTCTGTTGGTCTTCCATGGTCTCTTGTGTTCTGGGGCCTCTGGATGTCTGGAGTTTTGATCTCCTCCATACCCGCTTCACACCCTGGAGGACGGGGCTGTGGCCCCCCCACACTCCCTAGCAGATCATTACATGGAGAAACCTTTGGAATGCAAGCATGCTGATCCACACAGGTATGCACACATGGGTATTCACAGACGCGGACTAAAGCTTTCTTGGCTGCTGCCTCAAAGCACACTGTGCGCTGTCTATCTTGCGTGCTGCACAATATCGTTTATTATTTAGTAAATATTGATATGTATGACTAGCTAGTTTATTGTGATGGTGCTTTTTTTTTTCTATTATTATGTTGCTCTTTGTTGTTTGCTGTCTCCTCTGTTTGTTTTTTTTTTTGTTTTTTTTTTTCTCCATACAGGTGACCCAGGAGTTCTTTTTTTTTTTCTCTCTCTTCCCCCCCTTCTCACCGTCTCTTCTCCCTTTGGTTTTCTTTCTTTCTCTCCCCCTCTTTCTCTCATTCATTCCCCCTGTCCTATTTATTAAAAAAAAAAAAAAAAAAAAAAAATGACAAAGGATGAACTGAAGCTCTGCCATCACGTAATGTCGCATACTGCTGTTTCTGATGTCATTTAGGAAAAAAAAAAAAAAAAAAAAAAAAAAAAAGATG